CATCACCGCCACCACCACCATCACCACCACCCCCACCACCACATCACCACCACCACCATTTATTTAGCTCATACCAGCACTGCTGCAAGGTGCTTTAAATCTGTGACCTCACGTCACCTCTACAAGGTACAGTATTATCCTCATTTTATACATTAAGTTAACTAAGGTATAAGGAGGCTGTGTGACTTAGCCAAGGTCACTCAGGTAGGGACTGGCAGATCTGGGATTTGAACTCAGGCAGCTAAATTCCATCCAAAGGCCAAGCTGTAGCCACCTCACTATCCTACCACCTATATTACCTTTACTGTCTGCTAGCTCCTGTGCTGCTTTCAAATAGGCATTGCTCTCTCTGTCCTTAAAAACACAGTTCTCCTGACCACTCTACTTAGCTGCTTTTCCACCCTGTCAAACTAATGACCTCTTTCTCTCAAGCTTTTCTTAACCAACCATTGCAAACCACAGGTCTGTACCTTTCACTTCCATCACTTCATGGCCTCTCTCTCTCCTCGCTCTAAATCAAGCTTTTGCTCTGACTACTCCACAGAAAGTACCCTCCTGAAGTTCACAAAGTGGTTTCTTTTTCTCACTCCATCCAGGGGGTTCTACTTCTCCCCAAATAGACTTCAAAATTCCTTGACTTTCAGGCTTTAACGTGACCAATCCACTCCTCTCGCTCTAGGGCATCTCTTCTCATTCTAGTCTCTGAGAGCTCTCCTACCTAACAGGTCCCCCCCCACCCCACCTTTTACTGGTTAACCCTTCTCTTTCTTCAATCTAGACCATAACCAAGGGCAATCCTTCAAGATGCAACTCTTAGCCTTTTGTTTGATTCCTTCCTCTAAACTGCTAACCCATTCTTCTTTGGCGTTTTACATTTCTAAAAATTATGAAATATAAGAAACAGAAAAGTGATAAAACAAATATATGCAATTTAAAGAATGACACAAAGTTAACACTCACCCCTTCCCAAAGCTTCAATAATCAGCACTAATTTTAGTCCCCTGTTTCAGATAATTAGGAATCTCAGAACTAGTCCAGTCAACCTTCCCTACTTTATAGATGAAGAAACTGAGACAAAGAGAGGGGATGGGATCGGCCCAAGGTCACAGCATGCTGGCGTCAGCGCCTCCACCATTCCTTCTCCACCTCACTCGCACTGCCCGGTGTCCATTGTCCACTGACTCTGTGACACCTGTACCTGTCGGGATGTTTACAGGTCTGCCTCAGTCAGAACTTCTTCCTGGAGTCTGGCTGCAGCCCAAGGGGAGGCAGCCAAGAACACAGCACTATGCCCCGGCTGCAGTCTACAGAAAGATATCCATTAAACAGTGGTGTGAGGCCACAGCGGGAGAGTGACATCTTTAAACTCAGATCTTCTGCGGTTTAAGGCCAATGCCAGGGTAAAAGTTTATTGTATATGTGATTCACAGAGCAAGCGCCTAAATAAAACATCTGTGTGATCAGTAAATTTATAAATAATCCTGACCTATCAATAGTAGAGCTCAGAGAATAAATGAGGCTTGTGGGCAGCCAACAAACACTTCCTCCCACTACTCTTTGCTCTCAGTCTGGGTAAGTGACAAGGAGGGCAGTGGATAAGAGGCAGCTCCCCTCACTGGTTTATAAAAAGTAAAACAAAACCTGACAGCAAATTCTATAAAACATTCTTCCAAATCCTCAGGATTCTCTAACTTTTCATTCTCATGCTGGGGTACGGAAGAACTACCATTTTCCCCCCATAAATATACACTTTAAAAGGCTAATTACAACACGATTTCTTCTACATTTCATTATCCCTTATTATATGCGTAGCTGCCTCATTCTCAGAGCAAAGGGCTGGTTCTCCCTCCGCACTGCAATGGGGTTAACAGTGACCCCTGAGAAGCGCCAGACCCTTCACACACGTTATCTCACTGGGTTCTTACATTGTAGTAACAGGATACAGGTGTTTCTTTATGTGTTTCCCATGTTTTCCAGGTGTTGTGCATTGGGCATACATCATTTTTATAATTAAGTAAGCTAAATAAATGCTGTTTAAAAATAATTCTAATTATTCTGGACTTCTAGATGACAGTCTCCATGTGGTTCTAAATCAGTCCTCAGGGGTCTCCCTGCAGCACTGAACCCAGAAAAAGCTCCACCATCTTCCGCAGAGCCTGCTGGGTCCCGAGTTCTGATTTCTCGACCAGCTCAGGCTCCCTTCACATCCCTCAGCCTCACTGGTTCTCAGTCTCTCTTTTCCTCCCTCCCTCCCTTAAACATCTTACGCCCCAGCCCCACCACAAATAAAAAAAAGAAATAAAAACAACACCGCTTATAATGGTTTCGCAGCTGATCCTGACTTTTGAAGCATGGGTGGCTGCAAACCGGAGCCAATTAATTCAGGCTGCCTCTGAGGCACAGGCTCCACAAAAAAGACTGATGCCTGATACCTCAATGGGGAACCTGAGAAGTACCGGCAGCAACAGCACCATGGGAAGCCTCTCTATGAGACCAGCACCCCATTATCCATGCCTTCTCTAGGTCAGAACTGTGTCTTACTCATCACTGTACCGTGCCTGTGCACAGAGTGCCAAAAATGCTTGCTAACTCAATAAGAGAGGAACCCCTCTTTTTTACACCGACCTTTCTTCTGAATGCAAATGGCAACCTAAGTGAACGCACACTGCGAGCCTGGCCCTCTTTCTAGACAATCCCACATGCACTTCACCTCCATTCACCCTTCAGATCAGAGCTCCAGGATGGCTTCTTTAGTGAACCTTTTCCTGACACACACTGCCCCTATCAGGCCAGGACATTCGTTACACGTTCTCACAGCATCGAGTCAATTCCTCCATGGCATCTGTCCAAGTTCACTGATTTATTTATGTGTTTACTCGACGGTCTGTCTTCCCACTAGGAAACAGGCCACCTCCACTTGCTTACCAGTGCCTAGCCCAATGCCTGGAACATAATCCAGGCTCAATAAACAGATGCTGAACAAGCCAAAGCCAATGGCCTTCCTTTTAACCTAATCAGGATGCAGCAGGTACATTTATTTACCCACCAGGTGAGCGTGACTATGCGCAATGTTCTTCGCTGGGCGATACAGAGATGTGTATAGATCACAACATGCAAAGTCCATGAGAACTTTACTCATTGTAAATTCCTAATGCCTGGCACACAGTAAGCATGAAAATACCCAATGAGCAGACATAGCCCCCACTCTTAAAAGTCCAAGGTTTATTTCATCTGTCCTTACTTACACCAGTAACATTTTCATTGAATTCAGGAAGCAGGGCAGCTGTGGAATCAGCCCCAGAGCTCTGAATCCCACCCACGGTAGGCTGACTTCTATCAGAGGGCTGTGGAACTCACAGCTTGACACACAGTAGTATTTTTGTCCTCAAAGAGGATTAAATTTGAAATCTGTTCTGTTTCAAGGTACTTCTGGGGGTTAAAAACGCTCATAGTTTCCTGGGATAAGAGTGAGTTTATAATTTAGGTAAAACCATTTTTTTTTTTTACCCCACTGCAATTAGTACAGAGATTCTTAACACTGTTGGGAACAGGACCATTCTGAGAATCTCCTGAGAGCCATGGTTCCCAGAAAAACACTGTCCACATAAAGAGCACGGAACTGCCAGCTCTGCCCCACCCCACCCCACCCCAGCAATAAAACGTTCTCCATACCATTTCAGAGGACTCATGGGCTCCCTGAGGCCCACCTGTAGTCACTGGTTAAGAAACCTTAGATTAGAAAGCAAAGACTTGGAATATGCCAGTTTCATATTCTGGTGGAAGTACAAATTTAGTCCCAAATTCCTCCCCTTGGTCACTCACTTGTCATCAATCTGTCACAGGAACTGGGTAATGCTCTCTCTTAAAACATGTGCAACTTGCCCTGGAAAAGGTGGGCCCTGACGAAGGTCCACACAGATGGAGAAAGAGTGGCTGCTGACTCGGGGGGGAGTGAGGTGGGACAGTCTGCAGGTGGACAGACCAAGACTTGCGTCCTGGCTCGGCTGACGACCTGCTGTATGACCAAGGTCGGGCTGCCTTACCTCAGCCTCGGCTTCCTCATCTGTGCCAACCCCAACAGTCCTTATGAGGGCAACTGTTATGAGGATCACAGGATATAAAGCATATATTATAAAGAGCTCAGAAGCGTCTCCCGCACACAGTGAGGTCTTTTTAATGAAGAGTAGCTATTCCTTGTTATTAATATTACCATCTGCATTCTTGGCCTGAATCAGAGGCCCAACTATCCTCTGAATATGTGCTGTAAACAATGAACCATTTAAACAAAGTCCATTTAACACAGAAAAGCAGGAAACAGGTTGCTAGCTTAAGAAACTGTTGCAAAGGTCAGAACCCCTGTAGGCTGGAGTCACAGGAGTCTAGCGATGGTGGGAGGTTGAATGTCAACAGCTCCGCACGGCAGGGCTGAAAGATGTTGTGCGGGTGAGCAGGTGGGTAGGACGAGAGCCTGACCCAAAGTCCTCATTGCTAAATAA